TATTCAGCCAAATTAATGAAAGCAAAAAACAACACCTATACATGCTTAAAGTAAAATTTCCAGTAACAATTTATAACCTTAAATACCTAAAATTTTCCAATCAGAACTCTAACATTCACGTAGCCACATTCAAGTTTTACACAATTTCTAGCAGGAAATTTATGTCCAATCCTCTCATTGACTAGGATGCTTATAATATTTTCTCTGCAAAACTAAACGGGTTTTTATTAGAAGAAGATGGTGCAAAAAAATGTTTTGTAACTGTGAGAAACACTAATTATAGCAAACAACAATAACAAATGAAATATGGGGACCAATGACTATTAAAACTCCTATAAACCTTTTCAATTCTCTATAGAATGTTTTATATGTCTATACACGATACAGAAATATTAGTAATGGTTTTTATAGCATAACCAAAAATCACTGGTGCACTTACAATAAAACATCGATGGTTACAAGACAACCACCGTTGGGATATGGAGCCCGGTTGCAGTAACAAGGTTGAAGCCCGTGGCAAAAAAATGTAGGTGCCTCATAACCCTACAACTCTCTTGTACCCAAAAGAAATAAAGCATGAAATAGGATACTAGACTAACAAAGATATAAAATGACCAATAAGAAAATATAATGGGTATTTTGCTTACTAGACATCTCAGATTTGCAATTAGTTGCCAAACTGTAGTGGTGGTTGAAATTATATGACCTCCCATCACTAAGACATTGGCGTATTTGTCTTCATGGACATTGTTTACCCCATGAGTTAGGCGTCCTTGCCGTAGAGAAGAATGAGTATTATCAGTTGAAATTGGCTCGGTGGTGGACTATCATGAACATTAATACCACTAGAGGAGTTTGCTGGTTGTTAGCCTAGCACTATTATGATGGGGAGTTTGTACATAAATTAGTCATTTTTAGACCATAAACAATGAACCTACTAAATCAAAGATGAATGAGAGAACTTTAGTGTGACTGCGTGTGTAATCGACTAAAATTCAAAATATCATTTGAATTAAGGTGACTTAGATTATAACATATATAGCTCGATTATAAAACGAAATACGGAAAATAACTAATATATATAAAATCATGTGTTTTTGTAATTATGAGAAATACTAATTATTCCAAACAGTAAGCGAAATATGGAAACTAATACGTTTTTGAAACCCCAATAAGCCTTTTTGAATTTTTTTATAGAATGTCTTTATACAAAATCCCAAATTTTTTCACAAAAAAAGTATCAACAATAAAAAAAAAAAAAACATCATAAAACCATTCTACAGTGAAAAAGCATCTTTATGTAGAATCCCAAAAAATCATAAAACTGTTCTAGTGCACTTAGAACTAAAACCCTGAGAGTATTAGCAGAGTAAAATGAAGTATTAATAGTTGAAGTTCGGCTTGGTGATGGACTATCATGAATGTCACTACCACTAGAGGGAGTTTGTGGTCATCAACTTGACCACTGCCACCAGGGGGATTTGATTCGAAATTTAGTAATTTTCAGACCATAAAACAATGAACCTACCAAATCAAAGATGAATGAGAGAACCCTACTATGAATGCGTGTGCAATTGACCAAAATTCAAAATATAATTAGAATTAAGTTGACATAGATATAAAAAAAGTTATAGCACAAAATATGGAAAACTAATAACTAAACATATAAAATCAGTGTTTTGTAATTATGAGAAACACTAATTATAGCAACCATCAAACGATATGTGGAAAACTAAAAACTTCTTGAAACCCCAATAAGCTTTCTGATATTTTATAGAATGTCTTTATACAAAATCCCAAATTTTTTCACAGAAATCTTATTACACAACAAAAATATCAGAAAAAAATTCTTACAATTAAAAAATGTGTTTATAAACATCACAAAAATACAGAAAACTATTCTTATTGTGTACCACAAAATTGCTAGTGCTTTAGAAAAAGCCCTGAGAGTATTAGCAAGAGAATGAAGTATTAGCAGTTGAAGGTTGACTCAGTGGTGGACTATCATGAACATCACTCCCACTATATGAGGGAGTTTGCCAGTGTCAACCTGAGCACTGCCACCTGGGGAGTTGATTAAGAAAATTAGTATTTTTTACCATAAACAAATGAATCTACACAAATCAAGATGAATGAGAGAACACTAGTGTGACTGCATGTGCAATTGACTTAAAATTCAAAAAATTATAGAATTAGGTTGACTTAGATAAATAAATGATTATACACAAAATATGAATAAATATAACATATAAAATCATGTGTTATAATGATAAGAAACACTAATATAGAAAAACAACAAACAAATATGGTAAACTATAACTTTTGAAACCAATAAGCCTTTTCAAAATTTATAGAATGCCCTTTCGATTATAGAATGTCTTTATAGTTTGAAACACCACACTAGCAGAATGGGGTCGCAAAGTCAAATGGGAAAATTGTAAACTGTCACACATGGTCAAATGTAGCAGGTTCTTTGATCATTGATAAGCACTTACCTTTCGAAATGTTTTTGACAACAAAAACCTCATTGCCAAAGACAAAGTTTATCGATAAGGTATCCATTGAGATTTGAAAATTTTGGGGACACCCTAGATGGTTTCATCCAAAGACACTATAAACATTAATGTATCAGAGTATAAACGCATAACAAGTTTAAGTTAGGCAATCAGTTTCTCCTTCGAATATTGTGATATATCGGTCAATGCATATGTAACTAATGAATTCCATCGTTGATTTGATAGGAGATATGGAGGTATAAATTTTATGTTTCTAGGATTTTCCATGGAGAATATCATAATTGTCTTGCAGCTGATTGAATACTAGAAAATTGAATAACACATTGATTTCCCATCCTCCACTTATAGAACTTGTCTCCATCAATTCCAAAAAAATTAAGACTGATTTTCCGATTTGACTTTCCAACCCCCTTTTGCTAGCGTGGTGAAATAATCCATAAAAACAAAAGCGGATTATTAGTTTTCAAAAAACCATCAAGGAAGTGATTATTGATGAATAATCAAGTTAGTTATTGATTAATCATGATGATAGTTTGATGAGTGAGAATAGTTAGCATTATATGGTAACACACCACATCACCAAAGTCCTGCCGTGAGACTATCTCAAGTAAGTTTTTCAATGATATAGTTGTCAAAAACTATATTTAAATTCTATATTAACTGAAGAAATTAGTGGGCTTAAATAACACTGCTCACGAGGAAGTCCATACTAGTTTGATGTGCAAGGGTAGTAATTTCTAGGATTGGGTCTCGACTTGTTGAGACAACTATCTCCTTTGACCCAAGCCCCAACCTATATTTTATATTTTAGAAAAATGTGTTATCTTAGGTGGGATTTATATATAGTATCAATTGTATTTGTAACTTATAAAATATGAGCTATGTTTTAAACCATCTTATGGTCATTGAGTATAAATTTTTTTTTTTTTTTTTTGAGTATATATACATTGTATCAGATCATTGGAGTACGTAAAAGTGTATGATATCTATTCAGAATGAGTAATTTTCCTATTAACATAAACTCTTCTTACCAATTAAAAGATCGATTAGTAGACTTAGTGTAGAGTTTATAATTTTCAATTTTTTTTAAACATGTTTTCAGATATTTAAGTATTGAAATAAATTAAGATTTTTTTTTTAAAATTTTTTAGATGATTAATCCTTCTAAAAATTTAAAAAAAAAAAAAAAAAAGAAATGCAAAGTAGGAGGGTAAAGTCGTCAATTCCAGATGATAACGAATAGCGGCGGGTTTCGTAAAATCTAAAACAGAGAATTGTGATTCTCCCATGGCCATATCTCGCCTTGCTCTTTCTGTAAAGCCAGCAAAACGACGCCGTCGTTTCAGTTGGTTTAGTTGAAGCCAAACACGGAGACAGAGAAAGCCCAAGAATTGAGTTCAGTCAAAGGAGTAATCTTCGCCGAATCGGTGCTGCTACTCTCCTGCTCCAAATGGAAACGACTCGGCGTTTCGGCTGCGATCGGGAGCTACTCTTTGCTTCGTAAGCTCCGTCAATCGAAAACGTACGGTACTATTCATCTCATATCGTGTCTTTCGCTCTCTCTTGTTTTGAATTTGTTTAGAACTGAGTTGAATTTTGACATTTACGTTTTGCATGTTTCGCAGGGAGTTTTCGTCGATAAGGTAATTCTTGCTTTATATTTCTTCTATATGCTTTAGAGTAGGGAATAAGAGTTCTCTATATGTTGATTTTATAGGTGTGCGTGTTTGGATGAAATGGATGAAGTGTTTGTCTTCCTCGAAAAGGTACTTGGAGTTTTGATTCAAGGAGATTGATAGGTGACTTTTTAAAAGAAAAAAGCACTTTCAGCATAAGAACAGCACTATAAGTGCTTTTTTGGAAAGCACTTGGAGGTTATTTCTAGACAAGTTCTCTCAATCGCATGCATTTGGAGCGCTTTTGACGCAATGGAAATGCATGTAACATATCTTCTCTAAAATGCATGTGAATCTTTGTCTAAAATTCATACTTACCAATTATGGTGCATTAGTACTAGTGGTGGGGAATAATATGTGAGTAAGTTGCTTCCGGTGTTTGGGGACTTATACGGTGTCTGCGTCTAGATTATGTCATAGTTACAGAAAATGTTTGATAAGCTTGCTTGTTTCTGCTACTAAATTGGTAAATTGGTTTTGAAACTGGACTCTGCTTTTTTCTCAAGTATCAAAAGTGCACGTGTATCTGATAATTCAAGCATGCTTTATATCCAAAGCAGAAGAGTTGCCTATGATCATTTGCAAGTTGAACAAAAAGGTTGCCCAAAGTGATTGCCTTTCGAGTCTGTTTCATGATTAATGTCTTGTTCTTTTTTCTTGACTTTGGGTTCAAAAGCTATATGCTAGAAATACAACGTGAAAAACTGAAAACTGTAAAAGAGTAGCATTTCAAGGGAAAATTGTAGGAAGGTGCGATTAATAACTGTAAATCTAACATAACAAGATACAGTAATAAGTGTTTCTTTGAGAAAAGAGTTAAATGCAAGGATATACTCTGAAATTTCAACATTCAAATGTACTTCTTCATAGTATCTTATGGTGTTCATTCCGTGACTCGTTTGTCTTCACTTTTGAAGTAGGCACCTGGCAACAATGCTGTGATAGTGGTTATGTCATGAAGCCTTTACGTGAAGATTTTGCCAAGGTGAGCCCTTTTTTACAAAAGTGAGAATATGCCATGTTAGAAAAAAGTTAAAGGAAGCTAAAGAAGTAATAAAATTGGATGGTCTTGTACAACCATGAGCTGCATAAAATCAGTAGTAACTGTTGATACTTTGATTGAATGTTCTACATTGAATTGAAAAGTGACTCATTCTGGTTCCTAAATCCGAAAATTAGATGTGGGAACAGAACAAACTAAGAACAATTGAACTAAATTTCAGAGAAGCTTTTTCTTTTCAGGAAAAGATTTAGTCATAGCAGTGATCTTTATTGGTCCGAAATGTTTTTCAGGTAAATAGAGTGATTTAATTGATTATTTTGGCCCAAGCAATTATTTAGGTTCACCTAACAGTAGTTGGTTATAGGCTTAACTTCCTGCATTACTAATGACGAGATTGTGGGAAATTTCTAGTTTTGATTCCTTACTCATCCAAGAAAACACTATATTTGAGCTTATTTTGGTCCATCTTTTGTAGAGGTAGAGGGGTGCATTTCCTATGATCCTACTCCAAATGCTCTGATATTTGCGCTTCTCTCATTTGAGACTCCTCTATCATCGCAAACAAGTAGTTGATGTAGTTCTCCATAAAGCAATAGATGAATATTTCCATCGATGGGAAGCAATTCAGAATCTCCAACAGAATCACATACACCTCAGGCATGCAGGAGCTGCAAAGGTAACTTCTAAATTGAATTACATTACCATGTACCTCTTATGAGTCCATTAGATGTTTGGATAAAATTTGCTTGATTGTGTTTCTTTGTACAGTTGACATTTGTTTACAAACTGTATATCATGTCAAATTTGAATGGACATGCTTATATAGTGCTAACTGGAAGTAATTTGAGGATTAGAAAGTTGACGTTTTGTTGCTGTTGCTTTGGCCTGTCTTTATTTTCTTGGTGGGAATTTTTTTGATATGGATGAGAAAGTTGACTCTACTGTGGCTATCTTGGGTTCCAGCGCCCCTTGCTAGAGGTATGAGCTGTGTGTTCTTTCTATGGTTTTTCCCTCTCTGGTTTCCAAAGTCGGAATTCGGCTTTTTCGCTGAAAGTGATATTATCTAGACGGGAAAATTGTCGTTTCTGAGAGTTGCTGTGGGGTTGTTCAGTATAGGTTTTGGCAGATTAGTCTGGGTGGTTCATTGGAGTTCCAAGAGAATTGTCTCTCAGGGGCTGAGGTGGGGTCAGGAGAGTTTGGGCAGTGATAAAGTGTGGAGTGTCTGAATTCAGTTGGGGCTTGTAGCCGGGTTTTATTGTTTAGGAGTTGGCTTTTCTTGCCGTTTAGCCTGGTTCGAAAATGCCCTTCCTTTTTTTTCTTGGGGGAGGTTCTGGGCAGTTTTGCCTTCTTGTGTGCTTTCTGTGCGCTGGAAGAGCCATCTGTTTTGAGCTGGATGGTTAGGTGCTGGCGTTGATCTCTTATCTGGGAAAGAAATTGCGGCTCTGGTTGTTTTTTACGTTGCCGCCCTAATTTGAATTTTGTTCTTCTTTCATGGACCAGGATTCCTTGCAAGTGGTTGGAAAAGGACAAATTTCTTATGAAGGTTATCACTTCTTGCTCGAGGATTGGTTGGAATTTTGCTGAGTGTTTGTTCGGCATTGGATTTATATGAGTTCGATTGTTAGGGAAGGCTGGAAGATTTTGCAATTTAGGTGTTTCTTGTGATGTTTTTGACTTTTCCCAGGGAGCTGCGTTGCCAATGTTAAAATGCCGAGAGATATATGAGAGTGGTTTTTCGGTGTGATTACTCAGTCAGGCTTCCGTTGAATAGTCATTTTTCCCATTGGGCTTGTTTCCTTTGGACCTGGAGTATGTTCTGTTGTTTTATTGGGCTCCAAAGGTTGGGCCGATAAGGAGAAGCAGCAGCTATAGTTTTTCAAGCAGTGGGCCTTTTGATGGGCTTGCTCCTCTCCTGGGCCCTACTCTTTTAGGCTTGTTTTTGCTACAGCCTTTGTTTGCTAAGGCTTGTTTCTCTTTTGTTTTTCGGCCTTCTGTATAGTTTACCGTTGGGCCTGCCAAGGGGGTTGTTACTTATGAGCTGTAAGGAAATATCTTTAGAGAATTACCAAATTTATTTTGTATTCGCGGATTAATTATAATATATTTGTTATAATTCGGGTAGGATGGGGGATGACAAATACTATGAAAAAATTACACCAATATATCCATCATTTGTAATGGAGTACTTGAAATAAATTTTGAGAAATAAAAACAAGATCATTGTTTAAGTAGACATGTTTATTATTAACTTATAATTATGAGTATTTTTCTCATTTTGTGAATTTTTGAGAACAAAGTCAAGTGAAAACCATTAATTCTTCTCTTTCATTAAGAATTATTTTTGTGACAGCAGCTCATTAATCTTACTCTGATCATGAACTGTTTCAAAAAGTATAATAGAAACTGTTATCCAATCTTGAAAACATAAAATTTAATTGTTGATTTAAATTAATCCAGTCACAGATAAGAGAACAAATGCCGGTTTTATAAGCAGTTCTGATGTTATGCTTAAAGATGAAGACTTGTTAATGAAACGCACGTATGACTTAAAACTACCGTACTAATTGAGACTCTAATGGAACATCTTCTTCTCTTTGTAATAACAGAATTTAACAAACTTCTCAGTTCTCTTGTAAGACAGAGAAGTGATTGATAGGTGTTTGATGCTAAGGAGGAGATAGAACTTCTTGAAAGGAAGAAAGATTACCCACTTTTTGTGGAGGATGATGATCCTGATTGGTCTGAAGTGTGCGGAGGGGGTTCAGTCTCGGTCAATTTTTCGACAAAATTATATAAGAATGTGAAGAAGGATGATGATGATGTTGAGAATTATGATAGTGAGAATGAAATAGGTGGGAAGATGACAATTATATCTACCCGATAAAAGATATCAAGACGCAGAATGGAGTGTTCAAAGACATTAGCTTCAATTGTTTTGGTGCATAATCTAGACCTTGAAGTTTCTGATGATCATAGTTCTACAAAAATTGTTAATTCTTGTTACTCTACTGTATTCATGATAGTTGCCCTGTTTTGTTCTCATCTGGAAATTGATTTGATCCTCAATAGTCCAAAGGAAAACAAAAAAGTTGGGAAAAATAGAGAAAGCAGTGCACATCACCTGGAACTGGATGTAGGCCACCGTCACCTAGAGTAAGTAAATACTAAAATTATTTCTAATGCTTACTTTCTTCAATTATTCAATATTATACCAAATGGTGTGTTGCAGTTGATGTAAGTTGAGCATGAGTTGCTTTCTGCTCTACAAGTGTCTGTCTTCCCGGAGGTTAATTCACTAAAGCTGGAAGATCTTGCAACGAGAATAAGGTTTTTAAATTATTAAATAAAAGCAATAATTTTCTCTAGGTGGTCTTTAATAATTCTTATGATCTAAACTTCCTTTTATTGGTTTTTCAGCAATTCAAACTGCAGAGAGTTATAACAATGATGGCTTTCTCTATTATGGAGCTTCCAAGCCAGCAGTTTGAATGGTATTGAAAGTAGCCAAGAAATGATCTCATCGTTGTCATCAGCAATTCGTCGAACTAAAACTATAGGAATTGATTGGAAGGACGTTCCTATGAAATGCCTTGTATCGAGGACTAATTAATTGTGATGTATAGACTAGCCTAATTTATCGTAATTAAATTGAGAGTGTACTACATTACAAAGACTCTATATAAATCTTTCACATAAAGTGACGTGTCAAATATGATCAGATGAATTAATATAAAAATCAAATTTTTATACTATTTATCTTATCAGTTTTCACACTTCACTTTATGTGAAAGACCTTGTATAGGTCTTTGGAGTGTAGTATTATTCTTAAATTAATGATACTAACATACTTTTAGTGCTATTACTAGTTGGCAGAAAAATTATGAGCTCGAATAATTGCATATTTCCTTTTATGCTTCGCTTTGTTTTTAATGCTCCTGTTCTTTCCTATAATAATTATTACAAAATGTCCAACTTCAACCTTGATGAAAGCGGCTTGATTAACACATGTTGCATAAAAAAATGCAATGACTTCATACTGTTTAGAAAATAGGATTTAAAAAGAGATATGAAAAAAAGAGGCCAATAAGACAATCACACACTTAAGAACACCAAATTTACGTGGTTTGGCAAAATTATGTTTACATCACGGGATATAAATCAAATGATTGAATTGAAGAATATAGTACAAATCTATACACTCATGTTAAACCCAAACCCAAACCCGAACCCAAACGTACCCATCTCTCACTTTCTTTACACTCTCCCCTTATTACACACAAATCCCAAAAAGCGAAGTCCTCACGATTCACAACCATCACTCTTCACCCATAATTGAAGAAGTAGTGGTGGTGAAAAACTTAATATGTTTGGATGAAGAAACTGTCTCAATTCCTTTGCCATATTGCTGCCCTGCCACTGCAATTCTCAGGTTTCACATTCCTATCTCAATAAGTTCATGGTGCCATGGCACCACGATGAGGCCCAAGTTTGTGAAGCAATGATCTAGTGGTTTGTGGCTTTAAACCTCTTCAGGTTTTCTCCAAATCTCTAGCCATGTCGGGGTTAGTGAACTTAATTTCCAACCTTGCAGCCAGATCACCTGAAAAAAAAAAAAAAAAAAAAGGGAAATGACACAACTGTAAAAATACGTGAAACAATTGATAAAAAGTACAATTACAACTTACAAATTTCGAGTGATATATTAATGTTTTAAATCTCATCCATTTGCTTTAGGAGATTTCCTGCCCTGCTTCTCTTATTTTTTTCCTTTCTACAAGTTGATTAACAGGGTCAATATCAATATTTGTGTTGCAACTAGGCAAACCATCAACAAATAACAATTTTTAGAGCGTTTCTAATAAGAAATTACTTAGAGTGTGAGACGTTTAGTTGATTTGGTAAGGACTTGAACTTATCAGATCCATCAAGCTTCTAGCAAAGATGATAAGCAGAACACCTTGATCTCCAAAGTTCAATAAATGAGTACTAGAGTTTTACTCTCTCTTATCCTGCAGAAAAGACACAAGCTGTATGTTTTAAAGATTCAAAATGTACAAGAACTTCTTATCCAAGTTGGAAAATTCTACCACCATAGAAACTGATTGATCATAAGCCAATAGAAATGACATAAGCTAGACATTTATTAAGTCTTTCATCGAGGTGACATGTGACTCCATTGAGTTGCATTGATTTCATCTCGACATTCTAGGACTCACCTTGAATATTACAAATACAAAGTAAGAAGAATGCTCTTGGAATAAAAGGGCAATGATGGTGGAAAAAATAAGAGGACCGAAAAAGAATATCTCACGTGTTTGCACCAATGAACATTGACTGGTTGTTCTGCTTAAGCAGGATATATGAGGTCCATACTTGTTTTTCTCATCATTTGGTGGACTCCATATGCAAATCCAAGAGTGAGGTCCAAAATGTGTAATTAGATAGGCGAAAGAAAATGATCTGAGATCATCACTTTTTAAGAGTTTAGATATTAAAAATGGTGTCAATATACTTACAAGAAGTTGGAGAAGGAAAATTTTAAGACCTCCAAATGATTCTGCATTGTTAATCTAAGTGTAGGGATCCTGCGCATCGTGTTGTTTGGTAGAGAAAGTAAAAATGGTTTCTTAAATAAGCTATAAAAAATCAATGCATTTCACAACATCTCTTTGCCCAAAACAAAACAGTGCACCTTGATTAATAGTTGGAACAGCTAGAAGCTCGAAATTAGTATTGTAGTTTCAACAAGGAACCAAAGCTCCAAACCTGAAGCCAAGAGCTGGTTTTAAAAGTGCAGTAGACATGCCAGTTATTAACATTTAGATCTAGAAAATTAGACATGCCAAGAGTTAGGTTTTAAAAGTACAAGTAGACATGCCAGTTATTAACATTTAGATCTAGAAAATTATACATGCCAAGAGTTAGGTTCTAACAGTTGCTTAAGTGAAGTTGGAGATAGCGGCACCTGAAAAAAATGAATCTGAAGGAAAAAATTCATGCCAATAGTAGAACCCACATCTAGAAAACATAGTAGCAAGGATCTTTAGCAGATGTTTTTATCAAAAATTGCAGATAGTGCTTACTTTTTGTTACCTTTGAACCACAGGATTTGAGAAAATCTATTAGATGACAAAGTAGTGAAGTTTTGGAACAGAGGAACCACTTTCAATTTGCAAGTATTTTGTTATCAAAACAACAAAAAGTAGAATTAATAATCGTAGAATGGTTCAGATGTTAGAAGTTGACAGACCAGAAATTGAAAAAACGAAACAAGAACATGAATAATTTACTTGTATTAAGAATTCCAGAAATTAGGATTTGTTCAAGTTCAAAGTTTTTCTTTTCAGTTACGTTTCACATACAAAGAGTGCCCAAATGCAGAATGGTACAGAGTATAGAGATTACAATCAATTTACTGAAAAAATAAAAAATTTAATCATAAATATTTGTGACAATGAATTTATGAAATTAGTAAATTTGGATTTGAATATTATAAGAAAAATTTTAAAATTACCTGCACAAACCTCCACTGCTAGATTCTTGTTGATGATCATCTAGCAAGTTCAAATGAGATAATGACTTCGATCACTGAAAAATTAAGGCAGAAGCTCAAAAAATTTTCTATTAGATAAGAATCTAGATAATAGTAGAGTTGTAATTAAGAAAATGACAAACCTTGGTTAATCAGATGATTCATCGCTTTATTCCTCCTCTGAATTGAAGATGAATTTGCTATCTATAAGAACATAGGGAATATGAGCAATCTTTGAGCAATATCTTTTTTTTACCCTTGCTCCACTGTTTTGTTAGCAATGGACAATCTTTAACCGATAAAGACAGAAGTGAGGATGGCAGACTTTGCAAGGATTTGAGTTTTGGGCATTCCAGAATTTCCAATTCTTCAAGGTTGCCTAGGGCTGGAATGGATTTGAGCTTTGAGCAATCCTGAATGACCAATCTTCTAAGAGAGGTGAGGTTGGTGAGATTTGGAATTGATTCGATCCTTGGGCACTTCTGAATGATGAATTCTGTAAGAGAGGTGAGGCTGCTGAGATTTAGAATTGATTCAATCCTCGGGCATTCCATTATGCTCAATGCTGTAAGAGAGGTGAGCATTCCCTTGTCCTCTTGTAAAATGGATGTTGCATCTCCACCTAATTTGAGTCTAATTAAGCTTGTGGGAACACCTTCTCTAACAAACAATTTAGGACATCGTTCTATCGTAAGAGAGTCGACACAAGAAAGATTTTGTAGACCTAGAGGTATGGATTCAAGATTTTCACAATCAACTAAATTAACACTCTTCAGACACGTGCTTTCTCCAAAGGACCCATCGATTGACTTTAGCTCTCTACACCTTTGAATGCAGAGGGATGTAAGAGCCTTAGGTAAATACTGACGCCTTGATAATGTTTTGAGCTCATAGCAACAAGAAATATGAAGAACTTGGAGTGTCTCAGGCAACTAACGTGGTGATATGCACGTGAGAGAATAGCATTGATCAATTCTTAAGTACTGTAGAAGTCCTTCAAGAATTCCAGTTTCTCACAAGAATCTGTGACAAGATTTTTTAGAGATGAAGGCAGCATGCTACAATCAATGGATCTTAGAAAATCACAAACCCAAATTGTCAATGTTTCCAGGTTCTTTTGCTTCAATCCCCCAGGTAAGGATATTAGAGTTTGGCATCTGCCGAACTGAAGATCATTTAGATTGGGAAGAAAATTAGTGTTTTCAAAGAAAACAAAATCTTTTTTACAATTTTGTAATTCTAACTCTTTATAAAGGTGAGATTATGCATACGTCCCTGTATTGATGACCTCTCAATATCAGGCAAATTTTGCCATGAATCCATGATCTCATCGCTGCCATCAATCGTTAAATATTTTACTCTTTGGGATCCTTGCTTTAATTTACTTTCAACCTTTGGAATATTTGAAAACAATGGAGAATAAATCTTTCGAAAATTAATTGAACTGTCATTGCACACCATTATTTAACAAATCAATATCTTCTTAGCATTCTTCTGGCAAACTTGAGACTCAAAACCACCAACTAATAACAAATCTTTCCAATGACGGAAGATGATCAAGAAGTTCTCCAGCAAGTCTGGGACATCCTTGGATGAAAAGCTCTGCTCCTTTCAACATCTTCATTTCCTCTTCAAATGTCTCAATGCTCACATTCTTCCAAATTCTCAAATCAAAGAACCTCTAATGACTTCAAAGGCATTTTGAAATCTATTCTTTTTAGACTTGCCATTTCTTTGATGGTTAAGTCTTTAAGTGAGCTCAACATTTCAAGTGGAGGCAATGATTTGCATTTTTCACAGTTTTCAAATTTGAGGACCACCAATTTAGAGAATGATGGTGGATCTTTGAACCAACTGGGCGGGAAACTTTGACCACCATAGCACTTGATTGAGAGTTCTGCTAAACAGCTCGGAGGTTTTTGCTTGTCAAGTACATGCATTTCTACATCCTCTTTCCGCGAGTCCTCAAACAGTTGATCTCCCCGTTCTAGCAACAAGACTTTTAGATTGCTCTTATTGCTTAGTATTTGCTCCCCTATTTGCTTTGGATCCGTCACGTTCTCTTCAGCTTTTCAAATCTTCCAAATTTGAGCTTGACTCCTTACACATAATAAAGCTAGACAACAGTTGGAGATTTGTCAACTCTTTCATTCTTGACGGTATCTCTTTCAATGAGTTTTGACCACTAATATCAAGATGATAGAGATTGGTCAAATATCTCATGTTGGAAAGTAACTTCATGAGACAAGAACAACGTCTTTTTAATAACAAAGTTTGTAAGTTAAATAATTGGCTTGTTGACTCAGGCAAACTTTTGATCCTAGTGTAAGAAAAATTGAGATGCCTTAGGTGTATTAAATCTCCAATTGAATCAGGTAAATTATATGAGTGATGTAGTACTTTTCTAAGGATAATACTCTCAACTTTTTTAACTTTGGCACCAAATCAAAAAGAACCGTAGTAGTTATGCAATGGTCACTATCATTTCTATAATTAGGCCTCATGAATACCGGTAAGAATGTTCTTAGACTCTTAAGTTTTTCCAAGCCTTTAAACTTCTTTTCTCCATCAACATAATGAGGAAGATAAGAAAAATAACTTCTTTTCTCCATCAACGTAATGAGGAAGATAAGAAAAATAACGAATCCTTTGAAAAATTTCTGGTAGCTCAATATTGACTTCCTCATAACTGAAGTTGATTTCTTTAAAAACAGATTCAGCTAGATCATGAATAAGATCATGCATTACATAATTAGAACTATGGCTACTCAATTTTTGTAAAAGTGATATTGAACATAAATCATGAAAATACTCACCAGTCTTATCGAATTGCTTATCAGATGGTTGAACTACACCTTCTGCCATCCACAAAAGTACAAGTTTATCGTCCTTGAATCCGTAATCTTTAGGAAAAATTGTGCAATAGTCAAAACATATTTTTAGATTCGAAGGAAGATAATGATAACTTAGCGTTAGTGCTGGGAGAATGCGATCACTTTCATTAGATACACTCCATATATTGTTGCTTAATATTTTTTTCCTAAGTGTCCCATGGCTTAGAATGTAGAAGACCACTGAGAGTCTTTGCTACTAGAGGTAGGCCTTCGCACCTTTGAACAACTCTCTTACGAATCGAATCGTGAATTTCATGAGCCTTAGCAATGGAACCATCACCAAATGCATGTTCTTGAAACAATTGTTAACAATGATCATCAGAAATTGGCTTTAAAGGATAAGGAACAGCTCCTATAACAGATGCAACATTTTCAAGGCGTGTTGTGATGATTATGGTGCTTCCAGGTGCACCGGCCTTGAAGGGAGCCTTGAGGATTTCCCATTTGTCATAGTTATCACTCCAAACATGAAGAGTCTATTACGGGACACAATTTACGTTGCACTTCATCTAAATTATTTGGAGTAGAGGATAAGGAGTCTATTGACTCAAGAAGTGCCTTTGAAATTGTCAGAACATCAAAATTGTTTGAAACATAGACCCATGCTTTTTTCTCAAACTTGAAATCTTCCCGCTTCTACATGTGATTGTATATTTTTCGAGCAATCATTGTTTTGCCGATCCCTCCCAAGCCGACGATGGCTATCACTAGAAAGTTGGCACCACTTGGTTGAGCGCTTTTCACGGCCATTTCAACTAGTCTGGCTTCATTTTCGTCTCTGCTACAAACAAAATTTTCAGGTCGCACGCTTGAAGTTTCCTCTGGTCTTTCCGGTGCATCGACGTTACTTGATGTCCCTCCAGAAACTACATGCATTTCATGTTCAGCTGATCTTTCCTGCCACAGTTGTTCCAAGCGACAAGTGATGTCTTTGATCTTGGACCCCATGCGGACGTTGATCAATGGACTAGGGAAAGACGCATGGAGGCAGCTCATTCCCTTGCTAGAGCTAGCCTGGTGTTCTGCCTTCATTTTGCGTCGCGAAGCTTCGTAGGCAAACTCATCCAGTATGCCTTCTACATCATAAACCTAGTGTTGAAGATTGTCGAGCCACTCTTTAACGCTTTTATCAGTCAGTTGCTTGTCTTCTGCATTGCAAAGAAGGTTTTCAGCCATCAGCAACTTTTTCTTCAGCTCTTCTTTGAGCTTCGAATCTACTCCAACAAGGTTCCGGGCAAAGTCCCGCACCTCAGTGGACTCCAAAATCTTAAACAACCCCTTAAAGAGTTCAGAGACCAGGGGCTCAACAACAAATTCCATGGTTTCGGTTGTTGAAAGAATGAAAAGATTGAAGATTGTAACAAGAAGAGAACGATGAGAGAAACCAAGATAAACTGGTTAATTTTCTATTAAGAGTGCTCAAAACGGAACTCAAAATACAAGAATATTTGGTGCAAGCACCACTAGAATATTTAATAAAGACAATAATTCATAATCATAATCTTAATTAGTTGATTAAAGTAGTATAATAAGAATATTTGCTACTTTAATCAATATTTGCAAAATTAATCAAGTGTGAGGGACGGTGTCCTCATTGAAAGTGGACTCTAATTTGCAAGTCTTGGTCAAGCAATCATAACCTGAAGTTTGTCCAATTTGATTGGTGAATGAATGTGGCCAAAGATAATTAAATTTTAATTACAGTAAGTAAAATTATAATTTGTTTCTCAAATTACAAGGAATTTAATTTAAGCCTCAAAACATTATTAATTAGTTAATTAATTAGAAATAAAGGCATAAGAATCTTATTATGTAATCTCTTTAACATACCAAAAACCATATTAATGTAGCAAGGAAAGGATGAGACACGGTTATGGCTTGTAGGTGTATAAATTAGAATATTTCGTCAATTTATGCCTTATTCGTAATTGATGAGATATTTTATAATAATAAATCTAATCAACTTACTTTATGATTGATTATAGGCAAGAAATTGAGATAGGATAAAAAGGCAAATTAAAAACTAAAAAGGAAAGCGTGGATATTGGAGTTCAAAATTTTGATTACATACATAATTTGATAACATAATATATACATACACAGCTAGCAATATAATATCAAGAATGTTAACTTTTGGACAAGGGAAATTATTGATAAAAGACATTTGGAATCTATGCAACCATAGAAAATAGCATACCTTGTAGGTCTCTTGGGTCCGAATTTGTCTTTTGAGAAATAGAAGTATTTGGGAGATTAACATTCTCCAAAATTGTA